GTGCTCTTAGGCACCTTAAGTGCAGCAGAAATTTTTTTTGTAACCTTGGCCAGATCTGTGCTTTGCCACAATTCTGTCTCTGAGCTCTTCAGGCAGTTCCTTTGACCTCATGATTCTCATTTGCTCTGACATGCAGTGTGAGCTGTAGGGTCTTATATAGACAGGTGTGTGGCTTTCCTAATCATGTCCAATCAGTATAATCAAACACCGCTGGACTCAAATGAAGGTGTAGAACCATCTCAGGGATGATCAGAAGAAATGGACAGCACCTAAGTTAAATATATGAGTGTCACAGCAAAGGGTCTGAATACTTATGACCATGTGATATTTCAGTTTTTCTTTTTTAATAAATCTGCAAAAACTCTGTGTTTTTCTGTCAATATGGGGTGCTGTGTGTACATTAATGAGGGAAAAAATGAACTTAAATGATTTTAGCATATGGCTGCAATATAACAAAGAGTGAAAAATTTAAGGGTCTGAATACTTTCCGTACCCACTGTACATCTAGCATATTCCTGAAAGCTCTTATTTCACATTGTGTGTCTATAGCTGTTTTTGTCTCTAATTTTTTTATTTTATTATTATTTAAATGCACATATTTTTCTTGTTGCCTTATAAAATGCATACTGACAGCCACTGTACCGGAGTTGAATTCCTTGTGTGTTTGATGTACTTTGGCCCAAAAAAAAAAAGCTGATTCTGATCTATTTTTGAACTTCTCTCCAATGTTTGATTTTGTTGTGAAACTCACACAGTCAGTTATTTAAATGAAACTATATGGGAGATTTAGAGGGAAAATGACGCTGCAGTTAAACTCCTAACTACTGTTTTTTTTACATGTCAGAACATTTATGCATTTTTTAAAGTAAAATCTTGATGCTCAAATCTTAAACTGCGAAGTTACTAGTAGCTAGAACCTAAGATAAATGTAGTGGAATAAAAAGTACAATATTTCTCCTCTGAAATGTTGTGAAGTAAAAATATAAAGTAGCACAGAATGAAAAAAAACTCAAGTGAATTCTTAGTTACTTCCCACCACAGTTGAATTGACAGTTAGGTTTCACTACCAGTGAAAGTCAGCCAGAAATGGACCACGATTATGACCAGTTAAATATATTCTGCACTAGAATTCCAATGGGTATTTTAACCTATTACACAGCATAATATTGTCATTCAAGTTGGTAAAATGCAGCCTAAAATCCAATACATACAATCAATACATGCATACAAAGCAAAACAAGTGGAAAAGTGCTATTACATTTTCTAACACTTTGTTGATTTGTCTGAAACGTTTATTTTTGCACCTGACTAACAAAAGGCTGTATGATCCACCACCACAGGAGAAAAAGAAGAAATTCTGATGGTTTCTTTCGCTTTCTGCAGGAGGTCACCTCAGGTCACACCTGGCAATAATGCCCTGCATTGCTCTCATGCATTACTTTAGGAATCTCTTAAACAAGTAAAGGCAAAGGCAAAACACGGGTCTGTCTATATACTCACCAAATGTCTCACCAATATCTGACGGCTCTCGCTCTGCAGTACAAACAGAAAGCAACGCGTCAGTGAACAGGTAGCTGTGGGTGTAAATGTTAAACCCGCAGAAAGCAGAGGGTAAAATGGGTGTTGGCCAATCTGCTCTGACAGATCACATGAAGATGGAATCACCTCTCTATCACACAAACTAACACGAGGTTTAACGCACAATACATACCACAGGTACCGTTGAGGATGTCCATGTCTTTCATCGCATTCAGTGAGTCTTTCAAGACCATGAACTCTGTCACTGGGTCCTTGAATTCTTTCCAACCCGGAAAAATTACAGCATTCGCCTTCTTTCCTCGGTCTAAACGTCCGTATTTGCTTTAAAGCGACTCAGGTGAAGCTTCGTCAGACGTCACGCCAGCTCCCGAGTGTTTGCGTCAACAACTGAAAACGTGTAAAGCGACTCGAAGCCATGCATTGAATACTGTTTAAACCCTGCCTCGTCTCAGTTTTGTGATTTCATAAGCAGCCTTGCTCTGATTGGCCGGTTCAGGGCGCGGAAATCCCCTCAGCGTTACGTCACCTCTAAGACAGGAAACCCCCCACGAGAAAACGGGCACCGCACAGCGGCCTCGTTAAGGTAAATGTGATGCTCTGCTTCTTTGAATATTCAAATCTTGAGTCACACAGAAGATCAAGACCCAGAAAGGGAGGTTTCCATTCAGTGCGTGTGCAAAAGCACTTAATTAAGCGAGCCGCCACCCCGACTGGCACACAATGACCACCTATCACTTATTTAACAAATGTCAAAAAACCCGAGCCAGCTAATCCCTCTAGAGAAATTACGGGATTGCTCGAGGTTGCATCATATGCCACTGTCTTACTACCCTGCTATATCCCGTTTCCTACACCCCGACAAAAAAGTGGAAATTCCTAACTTTGTCATGCATATCTCAACAGCTATAAATATGCACAAATAACATCTGGACGTCCAGTAACCTGCCCTTAAAAAGGACGTGTTCCTGCCTTTTATTCTGAAACTTAAATTTACGTTATGTGCCGCAGCAGTGACACCTGCTGGTCACACAGAGGACACACGATTTAAAGGAATTGGAAAGTGAAAGTGGATGATCATCTCACAGAGGGCTGCGAGAAAAACAATGTCACACAGTAGTTGGACAGCCTTATTCCTGAACTCGCTGCCGCTGCAAAAAAAAGAGGAAAAAAAAATCACTGTTCACATGTTTTTCCTCATAAAATACTTGAGTATTCTAAATCCTTTATGACTGTAAGAACAATTCAAATGAACAGTCACATCACTCTCTGGTCAAACAAACTCTGCTCATAGCTTTTAAACACAAACTGTGCCTATGATAGGCACTGCTTGGATGCATTACTGAATGGACCTACCAGGCTCTGGCTCAGGAGTCCTTGACCCCGTGGGCCAGCCTATATTTGAAGTGGCTTAGTATTTATTAGCAAGTCATTCAGAGGAGCACAGAGGCAGAAAAAGACAAGTCAAAATAGATGCAACAGAGGCTCAAAGCAACCACAAACAGGCAAAAAGGCCTTGTTTTGTCTTTTGCAGTCTAGGTGCACTGCATTTATGTAGGAGGGCTGGCTGGGTGTGTCATGGTCTTATTTGTTTATGGTCAGAATGGTTGGGAACCAGCAGGTCAAGATTAGGGCAGATGAGTAAATGTCTGCTGCTTATCACCTGGTAGATTTATCATGTATATGGACAAATACCAGTGGTGTCTGTCTCTGCAGTTTGTTCTCATAGCAATCTGTCTTATAACCAAACTGAAATTAGCATCAACATCACTGAAGAAAAAAAAATAATGGCTGTGTGTAGAAACTCAAAGGTCTGAAGCCAGGCTTTTCAGCTCCAATCTTAGCATTAAACCAATGATTACAGGCTTTAAGAGTGATTTCTAAAAAGAGTTAGTTGGGGAAAAAAACAAAAACAACGTAGGCCTTTGCATTCAGTGACACGATCAAACTTGTGTACAGCTGAAACTATTTCATATATAATTAAGGGTGTGAGTCAACATACCAAACATCTGTCATTTTTGAAGACAAGTTGTGAAAGTGCTTCTCATTTTTCTTTCTCAACTGAATCTCTTAGCTTTGGACTTGACTGGACAAAATCGAGAGCTCGCCTTGGGCCCTGAAACACTGTGATGGGCAGTTCTCACCATTTTCTCTCATCTTTGAGAGGAAAAAAAAAATTTCATCAAGAAAAGTGGTTAAAATATTCATTAGTTGTAGCTGTAAATGCAGACCTTCAGGGTGAAAGTCTAACCCCATAATGTGTGTGTTGTATAAGCACACAGACTGCATTTACTATAAAATATATATATAAAAAAAAAACCTATGCAAAAAAAATTAAGGTTTCATATAAAAAAAAGGTTCCTGAACCCAGCACAGTACAGAGTAAATTTAAAAAAGCTTTGCATAGACATTTTAAATCACACTCAAGTTTTACTATAAACATGAACGCTCAAAATGTAATATGTAGCAACATGGAACCCTTTGTGTGTCAGGCTTTACAGCACTCATAATAAAAAGCCACTGTTCTAGCACACACCTGACTGCATCTGTCCAGGTGATCTGGTTTGGAGCATCAAACAATTTGAAAATCAGACATCGGGCCAAGGTGGGGGAAATAAAGGTTTGACTTGCAAATTAGCTACTGCTAGACAGTTTTGACATATGTATTATTAATGTGACAAGCTGGGATTCTGTACAGTTTGGACATAAAAAAAAAAAGAAGCTTCAGTGACTGAAAAACAAAAATCAAGTCTGACAATATTAATATATTTATATTAATACCAACAAGGCTGTTGTTTTATGTTCAAGTTTAGAACATTAACCATTTGATTAAAATTGAGGGTAGTAGGCGCCATCTTGTGGACGGTGTCCTGCAGGGCCATCTGTCTCATCTTCAGTCACCACCCTTCTTCTTTAACCTCCACTGTGGCTAAGGATTTTTCCAGTTTCCTCCAGCGCTACACACCAGTTTCCAGGAAATCTGAAACATGGTGTTCACATGGAATGAAAAGGAAAAAAAAAACAAGGAATCTACACAAAGAATAAAAGTTTCACTTGGCCTCTTTCTTCCCTGCATGGACAAAGAAAATAGTATAACTGCAACCTGTTCCCCTCCCAACATCTACTCCAAGACAGTTACCCTCTGAAAAATCATACAGAATACAGTACATCACGTTTTGTTTTACTTCACTTGAACTGCAAAACGAGAGGGCAGGGAACAGAAATAAGAATAAACCAGTCTACACTGAATATGTTTCTCTGTGGATCCACACAGAAATCAGAGGAAACAGTTAAACTGCATTTTTTTTTTTTTAAGTAGTGGCGTCCATAACAGCTAAACCACACCTCCCCTCCCTGCCTAATATCCACAAGCACTCCTCGCCCCAGCAGTGAGAACCAGGCAGCAGGCAGAAAAGGGTGTGGTCCTGCTTAATCGTTCTTCTTCTCCCCTTCTGGTTTGTCTGTGATGGCGGCTGCTGCATCAGGAGCAGTGTCTGCCGCTGCTGTGTTATTCTGGGCATGGTCTACTCCGCTGGTGCCAAACTCGTTGACCCTGTTGGGATCGACTCGATAGATCCAGCGCTGGTAAAGGTAGATGAAGAACACCACATCTGTGGGAGGGGAAACAGATGGCAGTCCGCTGAGAAACATGTACAATTCTAATACATTATAAATGAGTATTATAGTGGTTAAATGTAGGCTTTAAATCCAAATCAGTGTTCACATCATTGGTTAGGATTGGTTTTAGGAGGAGCAGAATAACTGTATTGACAACAGTATGGCTTTGTCTGCTCATGACAGCTATTACAATACTTACAGTACCTTAGGCACTGATGAAAACAATCGCCGTCACATTTTCATATTTTTGGTATCGACCTGGTACCAAAGTATCAGTTCTTGTGACATCCCTATTTTTAGACATTTGAGATTCGATTATTAATAAAAGCATCTACAGTGTGACTTAATATTTAACTACAGTAAAACTTCAAATGATCTGGTATTGGCAAAGGGCATTATGGGAATCGGTGAGATCTAGTGACTGGACACTAGGTGGAGTTAGAGTGTTAATTATAACACAATACAACAAACAATGCTATGAGTGACAAGGATTCAGTGTAGAGAAGTAAAAGCCAAAGGGCCACAGAGGAGAAGTCTTTCCTCAAAACAAACAACAAATGGTAAACGTCTTATACTTGTACAGCGCTTTTCTACGCTTTACAGCACACTCAAAGCGCTTTTACACTACTTGGCCATTCACATTCACACACCGGTGTTATCACCGGGAGCAACTGGGGGTTCAGTGTCTTGCTCAAGGACACTTCTACATGTTGACTGGACAAGCTGGGCTTCGAACCGCTAATCCCCTGGTTAGGAAATGACCCGCTCTACCTCCTAAACCATAGCCGCCCCCAAATCTGTCTGGATTAACTGCCTGCCTACGTTAAGATACCAACATGCTGAGAACATGGCTCAAATCTGAAACCAGCTCCACCAGCTCAGCTTCGTCAAGCTACATGTTCAAAAGGCCTCCTTGAATTTAGGCAGAGGAAGTTCAACAGCTTTAACTCCCACTGTTTTTTGTAGATGATTATTTAACTCGCCCTGATCCTGATAAATTCATAACCAAAACAATATCTGAGTGAAGAGAGACATACCATCTCTGAGGCATCCTATCCTGTACATCATGGGCATCTTGATGACAAAGGCAAACAGGTCATCAATAAAGGTATTGAGAGCCTTGTAGGTGAGCATCCTCCACGGGAGGTGGGCCACAGACTTCATTTTGTAGTTGATGAACAGCTGCGGCGTCATTGTAATGAAACCTAAACCCCCCCCAAAACAGAAAAGAACCACTTTTACACGAGGCAGTAAATTAGACAGCAGGCAACATGACTGTATGTGACCTCAATGGGTCTATTAATACACAGCACATTAGCAGAGGCTCCTGGGAACTGGGTATGTAACCATGATGCAAGTATAAAAACATTAGCTGAGTGTGGATCCACTTGGAGACAGTTATTTAAGAGAGACAATAACCAGCCACATAACCCGCTGGACACAGCAGGTCAGCAGGGAAAACTCAACAATGGAAAGAAAATACACATACTGTACATAGTTCCAGGCAGAAAGTTGACTGAGTACACAAGAAAAGATGTTGAATTTACATAATACTGGTACAATTATGACTTATACCCAATATACAAAATACATAAAATAAAAACAGAAAGTGTGTATGTGCTGCTTCAACATTTATGTTCAAGTCCATTTGAACAATATGTGTACTTAACACTTTCCTATGTTAAAAAAAAAAATCTATACCTGACATTCAGTAAAAAAATCAAACACAAAATGAGTAGTGGAGTATATAAATACTTCAGACAAACCTACCAAAGGTTAACAAGAATCCATAGAGCATGCTGAGTACCCATGAATACCAGCCTTTGTGCTCTACATACAATAAACTGTAGACGGCATAGCAGCCAAACAGAGGGTAGAGCAGCCACGACAAGTACTTGAAGGCCATCTGTTCACAGGGCAAGAGAGAAAAGGAATTACCATTCAACTTGTTATTAGATACAATAATAAGATATATTTTATTCATCCAAAGAGAAAAGTGGGCATTTAGGCTCGTCTGTCTCCACAGACTAACACTTGGTCAATTTGATCCACTGATGTGAAAGTTTATCTGTCAACTGTTCCAAAATCCTGAGAGTGTAGTTTTGAAAGCATGTCCTCTGGTTTAACTTACATCATCATAGATCTTAGTCGAAGACTCCACATATGTTGACTTGTCTGTGAATACCAATCTTGGGAAAACACCTACAATTTTGTTCTCTCTGTCCAACTACACAAAGGCAAAAATAGATGGTTACTGGATTATGGTACTAACAGCAAGCAGAAATACAGAATTTAACAGATTGATACAAAAGTTTAGAATCTGGATTAACAAAAGGGAAGCAAAGGAAAGGCAGGAATGTTTAACAGATTGATACAAAAGTTTAGAACCTGGATTAACCACAGGGAAGCAAAGGAAAGGCAGGAATCATCATTAGATGTCCTCCTGAGACACTTACTCTGATGTCCATAACCTTGGTGATTTTCCACAGGTCAATAAGAAGGCCGATGAAGACGCTGACCTGCACCACAAAGTTGGTTTCATTGTCCAGTATGTACAGCAGCACCACCAGAGACTGGAAGACTCCAAATATGATGGAGCGCACAGACAGACCCTCGAGAGACTGTCTGCTGTTCCAGAACTGGATATCTGAGGAGGAGATGGTGGTGAGGTGAGGCTGGGGGTAGACGGGTACAGGAATAGGTTTCAATAGCTGGTTACATTCTGGATCCAGTTCTAAGTTGGTAAAATAACTGGATGCGTTAAGCTTCGGGTATCGTTATTTACATAGTGCATGCAAAACATGCATGCATACAGTTTATCTTTATCATTTAGCAGATATATCATTTAGAGTTTTTAAGAGATCATTACTGTAGCTTCATCGTCTACAGTTATCATACCATCCACATTTGCTTATTACCGGTATTGACAAATAAAATGCAATGCGCGTGAACCTTTTTTCCCCAACTGCCTGTCAGCAGGTGTTGCACACGCACACAGCGAACAAATGGCAGACAGGAGGATCCCAAACGATAAAATGTGTGAGCATATGTCGGTTATAAAATAAGCGTGTGTGCGTAAGTAAAGGTACAGGCAGGACCAATCTACTGTAGCTGCACTGTCAAGCACCTACAGTAAAGTTGACAACTAATTTGGTATTCGATGAGAGCAGTGTGACGGCATGTCTCACTATTGTCAGACATTTTACAAACCAGCCGATTAACAGGTTGATCTGTAATGAAAACAATCAGCACTTTAGTACAAAACAGTTCAGCAGCTCCACCTCAACCAACTACAACAGTCAAATCCTGCTTTTACATCAGCGCATGAGTGACTAGTAATGTGATTATATATAATACCATACTAGTATAGGATATATATATTATTTTTCAGCATTGTGGTGCCTACTCCTACTTTTAATATTTTAAGTACATTTTCATGATACTTTTACTTAAAACATTTTCAATGCAGGGCTTTTAATTGTAACAGTAGGCTATTTTTACAGTATGACAGCAGGTACGTTTTACTGTAATTAAGTAGAATACTTCCACTAATACTCTTTGTTCTTTAGGGTCAATCTAGCCCTGCAATCCAACTCAATCAACTGTCACTTGAAATAACAAACCCTTCCTTTGAGGGTTGTAATAGCTGATAACAGTAATTGTGTAATACCGTGAAACCGTGATCATACTGTGAAAACCTAAAAAGGTTGCAACCTTAGTCCTGAATACAGACCGGCTGTTGTGACCTTACCATTCTTGAAGGCGAGAAACTCAAAGATGCTGTGCACAATGGAGACCACAATGGTGAGTCCCAGCAGATACGGGTTGGTTTCCAAAAGGGCTACCTATACAGAGACAGCGTTTTTATATTATTATAAAAGTTAGAGGGAGCAAAATCTCAAGTGTTACATTTAATCAGAAAGTCCTCCTCCTCTCTCCTGAGCTCTAGCTTCCATCCCTAATCCATGTTCCCCCTCTATAATAATTATATTGATTAGTATAGGCTACTTATTTTTATTTTTATTTTGTTTAAGCTTTTTTAACAGTTGTCATAATGTCCTACACATGCTTCACTCAATGCACCGTTCACTCAGCTTTACAACATCTGTCTGTCAGCAGCTCCTGATAAAGCACAGCAGACAAACTATCTTCACAAGGCTGATCAACAGCAGAAACGTAAAATAGTTTTCATGTAGAGAGGCATTAATCAAAGTTCTACTCTATCCACTCAGTGACATGTCTAAAAATGTGCTCAGGGTTAACTGGTCTTAACGGCACCTGTGACTATTTGTATTTTTGTACAGGCTTCCCTGGCTAGTCATTCCTGTGTTTTGGTTAATTGACTAATTGATTTTGTTGCCGTGGTGGCAGAGATTTTGGCATGGTGGGGCACCACTGGGACAAGTGGAAACACCGCATTTCAAATTGGAAGTAGAAAACACTTAAAATTGTAGAACAGCGTTTTCTGTTCTGACGAACTGGATTGTTGCAGCTCAATGTCAACAACGATGATCATATCCCAAAACAGGCTATTCTGGAAGCTGCGCTGCATTGTAATCTAATATAACATTACATCAGAACATAGAATGGCCCACTTCCTGGTGTTGTTATGCGCGGCATGAGGACACAGAAGCTTGACTGGTTTGTTGGAATGAATACTAACACAGGGTGGAATCAGAAGTCTGGCTAGTTATCTGGTCAGCTATTTGAAACGTTTGGCGAGTTATTTTAAACGTTTGGTGGCTAGAACAGCAGTTGAAATGTGCTAGTGCTAGTGACTGTTTGGTAACACTTAGCATGAATTAGCCTGAGTAAATGAAGGGTTGTGTTGAGTGTGTGGGTGCAGGCAAAGAGGGGGTGGTTCTGGGACACTGTTGAGCCTTCTTGGCATCATGGGCCCAACTCAACAAAACACTAGTTAGTGAGAAGGTGCCCACCTGATAACCCTGTAGGCTTGCCTTCACTCCTACACCCACACAGAACTTGTAATGATTGTTACTGACTGATTGGGGCTGTTAGCATTCTTCTTTTGTTAGACAATCTTGGTAGAACAGTGTCAGTAGTTGGACAGCTCAGTGGACCCCGCTCTCAGAGGTGCCATTACAAGCAAGTTGGACCACCCACTGCTTAACCTGAGCAAATACAATGCAAATGCTACGTGTCAAGCCACATATCTGCTCTTTGCTTAGGTGATGATAGGCTTCTGTTGATGCTTTCTGTTAAGAGTAGGTTAGGTCTGGAAAATGGTGTTGCTTATTGTGAGGCTCTGAAGATTTATGACAGCATGGCCTGACAGCCCCCTCTGTGGGGCCACATAATGGGTAAACATCCTTTAACTTGTATACTGAGCTGCCATATGAGTGCTCTCCCATTGTCTGGCACATTTGTGTACTGACTGAGCAGCAACAGGACAATTGGAGATGCAAGTTACGATGTAGTGTTTCATACAGTTCATATAAAATATCTGTTATAAAGATTTGCCTGCCTCATAGCAACTGAAATATCTTTTCTTTAATCTGTGTGAACAGCACAGCATAGTGATCTTGTTTCATTACCTATAACAAATGAGGTACTCATGATAAATATTTAATAAGAGCAGTCGTTATTGTAACTCAGCTCGAAGGAATCCAAGAGCAAACCTGAGTCAAAGAACCAAAAGTATTTCTATGCCATTACACCCAGTTCATGTTCAGTTTTTTTGTCTCTGTGACCCATGACCTCGTACCTTGACAGAGTCTTGGTCTTCGTCAGACTGCTCGTAGGTGTCCTCAGGCAGGAAGTTCCATGGTGAGCGAGCGTTCTGGGCAGCGTACAGCTGCCAGCGCCACAGAGACAGTGGGCAGTAGGTGAGGCGCAGTGGGAGTTTTGTCAGAGTCTCGTTGATGGGATAGTAGTCCTTCTGAAGGTTCCAGTAATCATTGAAGTACACAATGGGGTAGTAGTCACCACTTACTGCATCAAACTTAACATCTAGTGGCAGAAAATGTAGAACAGTGGTACTGTCACAGCCCATTTGACAAAACTTTAAGAAAACTATGTCTGCTGTCTGGAACATTAAAATTCTGCTGCAGTTGAGGTCACAGTTCAGTAATGAGACAAGGTGAGTGTGAGTCCCTTACACTGGTCTAAAGGAGGGGGAACAGAACCTTTGACCCAGGCAGTATGGTCATCCACCATGTTGATGGTGAGGTTGGGGTGCCAGTGAGAGATGATCTCCACTGGACCGTGACTCTCTGCCCGCTGTGAGGAAACATCTGATTAGACCCAAAATGAGCTGCAACAACCCCAGAGCAGCAGTTTGCAGATTTGACATGAAATACCAAGAAAATTGAAACAAATTTAATTGATTTATAATTTAATTTCTAAAGTTAATTTAGGTTCTTTGTTAATAGCCTTTTCTAGGATTAGCTACAATAGGTGTTTCTGAAAAACAATGTTACACATTGTGGATAACTGACTGGTGATTTAAAAAAAAAGTCATTACCTGAATGAGCAGCACAATTTCTAGCAATAAAATATATTAACTGTGTGAAGACAAACCTGGTAGGCATAGTTTTGTACCAGCAAATTAATTAAGTCAAGGAAAAACTAGTGCAGGATCAAAAGCCTGCACCAAGGAGGTGACTCTGCATCGACTACCACAGAAATCCAAACTGTAATATAAAGATAACCTTTTCAAATTGCACATTTGTGACCAATACAATTTTAAAACTTATCAGAGCTCTATGGTGACAAGTTATGTAATAGATACTATTTATACACCACCTTTAAAAAAAGAATTTGGCATTTTTGTACTGCAAGTTCTTGTTCATTTTCAGCTACCACAGACACCGATACATATGCAGTTAGTTCATATCAGCTGATTTATCAGTCCAGCTGTTCTGTGCATACTATAAAATAAAACAAAAATATAACCAACCCTGATCATTTCAGGATCTGCTTCCGTCACTCCTGTCAACAGATTCTTGGTCTTCAGAAATTTTCTTCGCTTGAATTTATTCAGCACTGAAAAAGTAAATACAGTAAAGGTTAACACTTGTTAATTATTGTACACATACATAATTCTATCTTCATAATTTTTGTTTAAAGTTTACAATGTGTGTGTTCAGCACATGTGCTTACTTCGTGTTGCATGAACTGTTGCCAGTCTGCGATACTGTCCCTTGCGTTTGGGATCTGGTTGGAATCCACTTTTAGTGAAATAAATGTGTATGTAAAGGGAGCCATTCTGCTGCACTTTCTACAAGCAAACACACAGCACAGAGAGAAAGATTAGTTTTGGGTAAATAGGGACAGTTTCATTCCCCAGGCCATCTCTCATTAACAGTTAATCCATGTTTACATGCATAACAAGATACAGCAAACACCACAGTACAATAACTTATAAATGTTGCCACTGTACATAAAATAGCTAATTTTAGCTTATATACATGTACATACTTAGAAATAAATGTGTTTGTTTGTCTTCGTGTTTTTTTTACTTGCTATTCTGTTTTATTTGGTGTACGTCAGGGGTCGATCTGGAGTCAAACTCCGTGTATTTTAACATATTTGGTAATAAAGTTTATGACTGATTGATTGATGTAACCAGCAACTTTAGAGTATAAATCAGGTAAGTTCATCACAGTTTTCTTTCCTGCCTGTTCCTTCTCACCATACACTACTTCCTGTTACCCCACCACCTCCTTAATCATCCCCACCTCTGGGATGTCCATCTCTTTATAGTGCTGGTAGCAGCCGTCCCCACTCTCCCCAATGGTCCAGTCTCCATAAACCAGGTCCCTGTGAAACCAGAACAGGGCTTCTGTGTCGTTGAAGTTGGAGAATACCTCCTCCTGGGACACGTACACATACAGGTCCTGCAGGCATGGTGAGAAAAAAAAAAGGGTGTTTATGCTATTACAAAGTCACAGGAGAGGGAGCCAGTTAGTCTGACAGGGTGAGATAATGCTGGCTTGCTGTCCAAATACATGAGGGAATCAGAGTATGAGGAGCGTTTAACAATGCACAGCTTCACCTCAATAAACACTTAATAAAACAGGTGGCCAGGAGATTCATGAGCAGAGAACAGGTGTAATACCATGAGGGTGTCTTTGGGGAAGAGGTTCCTGCTGGGTACCCTGGGTGCCCCTGCTGGCGTGTTGGGGTCCGGCGTGGATGGCCCTCGGCGGAACCAGCTACTGATCGCCCAGATTATGAAGATTCTGGAGTAACAAGTGCAAATGGAGGAAAAGACTTGATCAAAGATGAAAGGGGAGACAAAGAAAACAGAAGGGGGGGACTGGGTTCAGTTAACAATGAAATTTGTTTGCAAATGGACAAACACCGGCAGCATTAGCATAAACTGTGACAAGGAATGTCACCGATCTGAAGAGCTGATACAGGAGTGTAAAACCATAAAGGAGGCCAATCTGATTCAACCATATCCAGTCAAACTGCATTACACTCAGTTTGTAAGAGGCACAATCTTCTTGCATCATACATAAGTCATGGCTCAACAAGAAACTCAGAAGAGAGAGAAACACAGAGGAGAAAATACTGCTGAAATATCTTTGGATTTTTTTTTTTTTTTAATCAGTGTAACTTCCAAAAACCATGTGTTTTCTGTGTACCATTCACCAGACTTGAGACAAAATCTTGGTTTAGCATCCCCCAGTCCAGAGAGTTTAAAACTAGCTATCTATTTTTCTCTATACAATACAAGCAAAGCTATCACATGCTATACTTCATGGCAGGCATTCAAATCCAACTCAGCTACTCATTCACTTACACGGCCAACAGCTGCATTAAGTGCTGCAGTCCTATATGTAAACTTGGTTATACATTCATCATGAATGTATAATCATCTTAAATTTCCAAAACACACAAATGAACAAATGTCCTGAAAACAACTGAAAACAATTAAAGCTGCTGGATTCCATATAGGACAACATGTGATGACCATAAACTCTGTGAAATAACCACACTGCTGTTTACTTGTGCTCACTTGTTTGTTGCTGGTGCTGTTTGCTTATATGAATTATACCTGCAAAAGCCTGTGTAACAAAATGCCATCACTAAAGGGAGTACAAGTGAAAAACAGCATAGGAGTTTTTGTTTAACCCACCACAATCAGAAAGTAGCTCTTAATAAATAACTGCCTGAAACACTTCAGACAACTGAACATTTAATAAACCATAATCAGGATCTGTTTAGAGATATGAGCAGGATCACAATGGCCATGACCATCGCCACCCCCTGCATTTGGCCATGAAGCCATCTATATTTATTTGTAGGACTCAAACAGCCACGGGGGCCAGTGTGCCCTCATCAGTCCGATGGAGCTCTCAGCTCTCATCGTTTCATTCAGTTGCACATACCCCTAAAGTGGATGGTACACTTTCCACTCTCCAACATGAGCCATCCACAGCTCCACAGCTGTAGTGAGTGACAGCAGCAGTGTTCTCACTGACTTTACCTGCTGTCAGTAAAGCCTGCAACATGTGGAGGTTAATTCTATTTGTCAAGGCTTATTTGCTGCTTTCATTCTATTATGCTATGTTGAGCAGATACATGTAGTTATTGTGCATGGATTGCAGGATTTAAGAATGACCATGTGAGGTTTGACTTGTTTACTTTCCACTTTCATGTGAATCATGGCATCACTGTAACAAATGTGTTTCAGTGATTTTTATCAGAGGAAGCTTCTACCCCTGGGGTGACTCTGCGAGTAAAGACAGAGCAAGCATGTAAGATTCAAAAGAAGAAAAAAAAAGAAAAGCTCACCTGAAGAGGACTCCTTTAATGACCTGCCATGCATTAGGTGCTTGTTGTTGTTGCTGCTGCTGCTGCTGCTGCTGCTGAGGGTCCTGTGCGTTTCCAGTCGTCTGCACAGTCTGGCCATCTGCTGCTGCAGCAGTTCCATTGCTGCTCACCTAAAACCAGCGTAGCAAAGACCAGTCACAATAATGATGCAGCAACATGTAATATTACATCATCAAACAAGAACAGCTTTACTGACAGTAAAAGGGAATCACTCATGTATTTATTAGTCAGATATAGCCACTGTAATTTACTGGATTATCAGGTTAATCTACAGGGACCGATTCACTCCCAAATTCCAGTTGAAACAGGGAGTATACTGTCAGGTTTTAAGAATTAAGGTTGTAGATCAGGTTCTAAAAAAATGTGGTGACCCACTGACCTCACGTGTTTTCAGCATCATTAATAGGGATTTCAGACTTGCCACTCCATAATGTGATAAAGTGGATAATAATGGCAAATATCTTTGTTTCTAGATTATTATGTATTATAGTGGGAAGTTTACAATTTGCAATGAATACAAACAACACAAACCGGACAAACTGAAAAATGAACTTACTATAACTTACTGTGAATTCTATATTCTGGGGATTCTTTTGCTTGGACAAAATTTGAATACGTCACCTTGGACTCTAGGTTGTGGTGATGTTACAGTCTTCATGTTTTATTGACCAAATAATTAAAGATGAAGTGTGAAAATTATCAGCAGACCTAATTTTAATAGTCAAATAATCGTTTGTCATGTATCAAACATTTTTTCACTCTAGCTTCTCCAATATAAAGAAAAAAATTAGATATTAATTTAGACAAATTACAAGGCATTAAAAGATTAAACAAATGCAGTGCAAACGGTAAAAGACAATACCTCAAGGGTGTACCTAGACACATTTAATTTTTAAGCAGATCTATAATAACTAGGGTCAAAACTAAAACTGAGAAGGTCCTATTTAATTTAACCATCATGATCTTTTGACTTATGAAGTCTTTGTAGATTTGCTATACTTTAAAAAACTTTTCCAATGGTCACATGTAAACATCAGCTTGAATATGTGCATATTAATGAGTAAAACCTGATATTAGCTCGCTTTTCAATGTAATTTCAACCCTGAAAGCTTCAGTGCATCCACGTAATCTTCTGCCCCGCCAACAAGGCCACACTCTATTCAAGCGACACAATAGACGAGCGCATGCCAAGTCATGAGACTCATTCGCTATCAAAACATCTAATCTCCCCCTTTGTTACCAATACAAGGGACAACAGCCTCTGGCCTCTAAAAACAAATTATACTTGAGGCTAAAAATGTTTTCAGTTCAACTGGTTTCATTTATTAAGACACCAAGTGGCCTTGAAATGAGTGAGCAGTGGAAATATAAAGGTTTGTAATGAACCACTGGTCCTGCACCATTATAAACAGAACATTTTCAGCCCACAGCTGCTCAAAATAGGGCTTCTCACCTGCTCCACAATGTCCTATAGTGTTAAAATAGAAACAATTCTATTATCAGAGACATGGATCAACAGCATAACAATTACACAGACAGATCACCAACATGCTTAACAATGGACACAGGTTATCTGTTCCAGCTCCAGATGATAATTTACACACTCTGAAAAAGGATTAACAATTAACCAGCTATTCAGGGTTCAGAGTGAATGCTTCACACTGGATTGTCACCATGTGCCATGAAGGAAGGAGGAGGGCGAATAGTTCAGAGAAGTCAATCGTTCTCAGAAGTGGAACCTGCTCTGATAACTTTTTACTACACCTGGCAACTGTACCTCCTACAGCAATGTCATATTAGCCATATGACTATAAAAAAAAAAGATCAGTCTCTGCTACAGCGGTAATACTTAACCATTAACCATACAAATAATCTTTCCACAGTCAGAGTCGCAACTGTACTCAGCAGG